AAAAAAAAAAAAAAAAAAAAAAAAAAAAAAGAATAGAAAGACCTAAATATTGAAATTCTTAACTTTTAGTGTTTATAATGGCCTTTCTCCATGTTGCCCTACTTAATCCCGAATAGCCCTGTTTTTCAGATGTGGAAACCATATTTTAGAGAAGCAGCACGCTTAAGTTGCATAGGTGATAGGTAGAAAGGTAGGCTTGTTTTTCGACACTGTAAGATCTTGTGCAGCCGTAAAAAAGAAGGAGTTCATGTTCTTTCCAGGGACATGGATGAAGCTGAAAGCCATCATTCTCAGCAAACTTAACACAGGAACTGGAAACTAAACATTGCATGTTCTCACTCATTAGTGGGAGCTGAACAATGAGAACACATGGACACAGGGAGGGGAACATCACATACCTGGGCCTGTCGAGGGGGGGCCTAAGGGGAGCGAGAGCATTAGGACAAATACCTAATGTATTCGGGGCTTAAAACCTAGATGACGGGTTGATAGGTGGAGCAAATCACTGTGGCATATGTACACCTACATAAGAAACCTTCACATTCTGAACACATATCTAAGAACTTAAAAAAAAAAAAGATCTTGGATACATTTAGCAGATTTATCGAACATACACCATGCAAACATACACCATGTGCAATGCAGTGCGTGAAGTAGTTGCTACAGTTCAGACAAGTCAGAAATGAATGCAGCTTTCAAGGAATTTATATGAGGAAGATAAGATATATATATATATATATATATATATATATATATATAATATAACACTAGGTAGAAAGTGATAAGAGCTAAATCAAAAGATATGGTGAAGTATTGTGGGAGGAATATTTTAATTTCCTGTTTTGGGTGTTGATGAAAGCTTCTTAATTAAGATGGCATTTGGCCTGAAAGATTTGTGCCTTTGGGGAAGGGACATGTAGACTTGTTGGGCCCAATATGCACCTTTATGTGAAATTAATTCCTAGGATAATAATTGGTGTGCCAAATTCATTTGCATTTCATCTTAAACAGTAAAGGAATGTTTAGTATTCTTTTGAGTATAATACTCAGATGAAAGTGCCAAGCCTTTACCCCAATCTCTTGGGTCTTCTGCAGGTGTTACACAGTAAATCAATGAAAACTAAGTGTGACAAGAGTCCCACTGCTATAAATAACTAATATTTGTTTAGTTCTTAATATATATCAGGTAATGTTTCAACTGCTTTATATTCTATTAATCCATTTAATCTTTTATAGTCATGTGAGGTATATATTATTATTAAATATTATTATCCCCATATATTAAAGTGCTATGACATAAATACCCCCAAAGCCCAAAAAATAAACAAACAAAAAAACCCCATAATGACTTCTATTTGGTAGAAATGTATTTCTCTTTCACCTAATAGTCCCTAGGTGAGTGGTCCAGGACCATCTTGGCAACTCTGTCATTCTCAGCATGTGGCTTCCAAAGTTGTTCCAGTAGTCAGCATTTCCTAGCTGGTAGAAAGGAAGTAAGGGGAATACAAGGAAAATAGATTCTTCCTTCAGGAGGACTCCTGGAATTTCGTAAATCACTCTCACTCATATCTCATAGACATATAGCATATTGAATTGAATGGTGGCCCTGCAAAAGACATGCCCATGTCTTTATGTATAATGTCTTTTTATGTAATATCTGGGCACTGCAAGTATGATGTTATTAGGAAAAATGGTCCATGCAAATTAAGGATCTTGAGATGAGATTACCTTGGATTACACAAGTGGGCCCCAAATCTTATATACCCTTGTACAAGACATACGAGTAGAAGGCACACACAGAAGGCCACATAAAGACACAGTCAGATAGTGGATTTTTGCTGCCATAAGCCGAGGAGTACTTTGAGCCACCAGAAGCTGGAAGAGGCAAAAGAGGATTTTCTCCTAGAGCCTTCAGAGGGAACATGGTCTTGCCAACACCTTGACTTTGAACTTTGGCCTCCAGAACTGTGAGAGTGTGCATTGTTGTTGTTTTAAGCCACCAATTTTGTGTTGATTTGTTGTGGCAGTCACAGGAAACGAATAAACTTGACTCCATGTTGCTGCAAGGAGCCTGAGGAATACAGTAATTAGTGGGCTGGCCATCTGCCAACCTAAAACTACATCAGGGAAGAAAATAATGGTTATGGCGGGGGGAGAATTAACATTCTCTATCATATCTCATTTTATAGATGAGGAAGTTGAGGCACAGAGAGAAGTTAAGTAACTTGCCTTTTGTCATACATCTAGGAGGAAGCAAGCAAAGCTGTGATTGAAATCTAGACCCTTAACTACTAAGTATACTGCCTTTAAACCCAAGAGACTGTAGAGGCACAGAGAAGAGAATTGTGATTGGCTTTGGAATTCAGAAGAATAATGGCTAGTTGTTAACCAGGCAGAGAGGAGGGGATGATGGAGAAAGAGGCATTTCTGGCTAAGACACAGAGGTATGAAATAGCATGACCAGTTTGTGGGGGCAGTTCGAAACTCAGTTAACCCAGAAATACCCTCTTGACTTCACTGAAAAAAGAATAAGCCTCCCCCGTCTACAGTTCTGTGACTTTTTTCACCTCTAAGGCTGGCTGTGTGGGAAGATGGAGAAAGACCTTATTTATTCAGCCCCTTGCCTCTCTTGACCCTTATAGGAAGGTCCTTGGTGAAGTCTTCAGATATTTATATGATACAGATCTACTTTTGGAGAAAAGATATCCTTATAATAGTACAACAAAGTACATTTTAATCATTTTTATAGGATGTTGCTCTCTTAAATGATGTGGAAGGTATACGATTAGAATAGTTCTATCTATGCTGTCATTATTAAGTTTGTATTCTTTAGGAAGTTATTCCCAATCATGTTACACCAATGGAATTTCCCTTGGAAAATGCATTCTTTTTATGATGTATTTCTAGGAACACATTGTTGTGAGAGGCATGGACTGTTTGTGGAAATGAAACTTTGGCTGCCTCAAAATACTTTTCATGAATTAAATATAGATGTTTTTAAGTAAACCGTTCCCCCATCCGCCCTTATCTTATATTGTGTATTAGGCATATTAAAATACCAAATCAGTTTCCTTTTTACCTACTCTGTAGTATAAAGTGTCTCCACTGAGAAGGAGGGTGTTATATACGTATTTACTATTTTAAGTGGAAATATGTGTGCATTAATATTGTGCTTCTATGGTTTATGGTAGGTAGGCCTTACTTGTTTTTCTTTCTTCTGAGTATTAAGCAGATTAACACAAGTTACATTTTGTTTATGGAAGTCTCTATGTTGCTCCATAAGCTTAATAATCATTAACTTATTCAAGCTGCCACCAAGAGTTTTAGATAAAAGATTGATTTGTACGCTGTGTATTCAAGCCCAAGTCAACTGCCTTTCCTTCCCAGGTGTTGATTTAGTGAGCGAGCAGTTTGAAGATCTTCTCTGAACAGGTGCCCTTGTTTACAGTTTGTGGTTTTCAAGGTAAATGCAGCAACTTCAGAATAAAGCAAACGTTGGTGGTGGGTGGCAATGTTTGTTTTACAAATACTTGGAAGTGGTTTAGAAATTGTCTTTTAAAGAATAAGGTGGATAATGACCCAATAGAGCAGGCCACATGAATAGAGATCCAGCCTCAGTTAGCAAGGCACCACTGACTCACCCTTGTTCTCCTGGAAACTTGCTTGCCCTTTAACTGGAACCCCTGCAAAGAGAGACTGAAATGAAAATGAAAGTGATGGCCCTGCTGGAACTCACTGAGTCCTGGTGCTTCTGCAGTGTTTTACTATCTGGCTGGGATTGGGATGTGTGTGTGTGTGTGCGTGCTCTACTAGATGATTTGGAGGTGGTTAAAGTTACACAGACTCTGAAGGGCTATGAAGAACTTGAGGATAACATGCTTCTCTAGAGAGTGTCCTATCTTGGAAGTAGCCTAAAAATGGTTTTAACTAGCATTTTAGAAAGGGCAGAAGCTTCAGCTCTGTTTAGAAATTGTGCTGTGGACATTTGTTCTTCTGGTTCTATTTAGACAGGCTGCGTGAAGCACAAGTGCAGCTACAAATTGTTGTAGAAAGCCTCGCAGTTATTCAACTTGAACTCCGATTATATCTGCATAATTAAATACCCAGATGTGGGTCCTTAATAATTTTTTTTTGAGATGGAGCTTCACTCTTGTTGCCCAGGTTGAAGTGCAATGGCATGATCTTGACTTACTGCAACCTCCGCCTCCTGGGTCAAAGGATTCCCCTGCCTCAGCCTCCCAAGTAGCTGGAATTACAGGCATGTGCCACCACACCTGGCTAATATTTTGTATTTTTAGTAGAGGTGGTGTTTCTCCATGTTAGTCAGGCTGGTCTCGAACTTTTGACCTCAGGTGATCCGCTTGCCTTGGCATCTCAAAGTGCTGGGATTACAGGCATGAGCCACCACACCTGGCCCAGGTCCTTAATAATTTTTAAGAGTGTGAAGGGGTACTGTGACCAAAATGTTTGAGAAATGCTTACTAGAGGAACAATCAGGAAACAGGAGTTAGCCATAAGCTTAATTCAGCTATAGGGAAAAGCACGTGTTCAAAGCAGTAGATAGGCATGGTTCTTACCTAGGAACCATGGTCAGGGAATGTAATTAGAAATCAGGAAATCAGCAGGTATACCAAGAAGGCAGCATGAAATAAGGGAGCAGGAGAAAGGCTATTGTCTGTGAGCTTTCTGAGGGTCCACATTGTATCCCTGCCACTGAGCTTATAGCAGGATGAGTGTTTGTCAATGATTGAATTGATAAGTATAAACAATGTTGACTCAAACATATGTTGAGAAACATATGAGATGAGATGTTTGTGACAGAATTATTTATAATGGAAGAATCTTAAATATATAAAAAGAAGAAACATTTTTTTAAATTTATATATATATATTTTTTATTTTTATTTTTTTCCCCATTTATTTTATTGCATTTTAGGTTTTGGGGTACATGTGAAGAACATGCAAAATTGTTGCATAGGTACACACGTGGCAGTGTGATTTGCTGCCTTCCTCCCCATCACCTACATCTGGCATTTCTCCTCTTGCTATCTCTCCCCAGCTCCCCACCCCCCACCGTCCCTCCCCTATTTCCCCCCAACTGACCCCAGTGTGTAGTGCTCC